TTCAGCAGACAGGGCTGGTGACAGGGAAACAATTTTTCAGAGTGTCTGAATTTCAGACCATAGGCACAACTCCCCAGTCCCACAGAGGTAACTGGAAAGAGTTTGCTCTACTGATCCATGAGCCAGGGAAGTGTTTTGCGGACAGCATGGTACTTGCTAACTACAAAGAGTTATTGCTGCCCCATTGGTGAAAATCCATGCTTTCACCCTGGTGATCTTGAATCCATTCCCTTTGAAAGATCATAGAAGCCTCTTTGCAGAAAGCAGATGGGAAACAAACTGGTTTTCTCTGAAGGGACTGGCTGAAAAGGTATGTGTGGTCCTAGGTGTTCACTTCCAGAGCACACTGTGGCAGGCAACCTCTGATCACCCAAGTGAGGAAGCTGGGCTTCCACACAGCATAAATGGTAACAAGCTGCAAACCTTCCAGCAACCTTGCCTAATTTAAAGGACATGTGGCTGTTTCTTTGGGTGAAGAAAGGCTTCACACTCCTTTATGGTGATGTTACTTGTCATGCAGAGGGTAAAGTTTGCACTAGTCACATTGGCTTCTGCTTGGAATAACCAGATGGTCCAGTTTAGTTCATATTTCTTGGCTGGGTCAGCAAAGTATCTGGGGTTTATCTCCATTAACTGCTCATCTATCTGCTCTGCCTGTCCTCAACCCCTGCTCCAGGGTATCATTAGTCCTACATGTGTTTAGCTCCACCTCTTCTCTGCCAGAGAGAGGCAGAGAGAGGCAACTTCCTTGTAGAGTTGGCAAAGCTCCGAGGTGGTTTGCAATCCAAAACATGGAGCTTTACAGGCTCAACAAGAGGGACAGCCTGCTTTGCCCTAGATTGGGAGGGCAGCAGAAGTGGGCAGAGAAACAGGAAGCAGAGAAACCTAAGAGAGGACAAGGGCATCCTGGGGTCATCTCTGGGTGGAAAAAGCAGGTGTCTGGGATGAAGAGGGACAGGCTGGCTCCTGGGAAGAAAGTAAAGATAGCTGTTCCAGAGAGAGACAGGAAGGGTAGTAGAGGGGTTTTTAGACCCTTCTCATCCATCAAAAGGTCTCCTTTCCTAAACTAAAAAATAAGTTTGCTCGATACATGGCAAAATTCTGGTTTCTGCTCAACATCAAGATGAATGTGGAAATTATGTAAACACCATAGTACTCTTTGGGCTGGTGAGCACTGGAATTAACATTACATCCTTCTTCAACCAATTCTTGTTGTAGGACTTCATTACAGAATTGCTTAGTCGATTAAAAGGTCTCCGGAAAGTCACCCATCCTCAGAAGAAATGACCTTGCCCACACAGAACACCCAGCTTTGGTCACAAGGCAATGTGTATTTTCCCCACAAAACCCAGGATCAGCAACATCGCTTCAGAATATGTTTAGGACTTACTGTTACTGAGAATCATCACCAAGTTTGTGAACTTTGTACCAGGGGGCTGAAGTCTCCACTCCTTCCAGATCTACGCACACAGCACAGAGCTAGACTGTACATTTCCCTGATTCTTAAAGGGCACATAAACCTGGGGAAAAGGACAAGATGTCTTTCCTTTAGTTTCTTCGATGAACGTCCGTCCTGGCTGAGGAGCACTGAATACAATTCTCAGGAGCTCATCAAGACTTCTTTCTTTCCATCCACTGCAAGGAAAACAAGGCATTGGTTATCACTCATTCATCAACGTGGAAAATCAGGCACTGTAAAGCTGCACCCTGTTTCAGTCTGGCTGGGACCCAGCTGTGATCTCCTGCCTATTACTGCTGTACCTGACTCTACAGCATTGCATGTACTTTGTAAGTCTGATTAAGCCTCTGTTATTCATGAAGCTTGGACAGAAAATATACAGGAGGATGGAAGGAAAAGGTTCAAGTGCACCTTGTCTACTTAAGGGGAAGGTAATGAAACATCTGCTAAGGCTAATGGAAGTGAGATTAATTTTTCCTTTTTGTGGACTTTAAGACTTAATGATTTAGAAGCATCTTCTAAAGGACCAAAGTCTGGGAGTTATTTTTCTCATAATTTAAAAAGATAGTGGGAAAATGCTTATTTTGTATATTAAAACTGAGAAAACAAGCTGTGCACTGCTTGCTTTTGCTCTCTTTCTGGACAGTAAAAAAAGCTGAAGTGAAAAAATAATTGCTCCCAATTTCCCCGCAGAGAGCATCTTGGATGGAGTCTTTTGGAAACAGGTAGGTCTCACAAATGAGAAGTGAAACAGGACACATTGTCTTACTGCACAAACTCTTCTGGCTGCAACTAACGTGTGGCTGGAAAAACTACAGAGCAAACTACATCCAGCCTCTCAGCAAGTCAGTAACTTGACACATGTGGCTAGGAAATTACACAGCAAATGGAAGCTGATTGCTTAGGCAGAGAAGACTCTTATGTGATGTCCTGTCCTTGTGCTCTCACACCTCAAAACACAAGAGATGAGTTGCTGAGGGACATCCAGAAGGGCTCCTATGAACCAATATGTTCAAGGCTAGCTTTTGCCTACACAGTTTGTCAAACAGGGACAGAGGGGGCCAACTCTGGAACAAAAGAGATATGCTGGTTAACTAACAAACAAGAACTCTTGGGCTGGACCAGTAATATCTTAAATGTATCAGTCTTTCATCTTTAGCAGGGTGATGACTATTACTTTTTGCTTCCCTTCTATTTTGCAGCAGAAGTGTCACTGAACAAGCTGCAGACTGTGCAGATCTCTGAGAGGACAAAAATCCAAGCTGCAGCAACAACTGTCATGTAAGGGCCTACTTCTCTTCACATGCTGTTCTTGTGTGTGACAGCCTCCTGGAAGTCAGCAAGCCATGCAGCTCGTATCTTGTCCTAAGACTGCACCAAGAGGCTCTAAGCCTCACCCTGCAGGATGGAGAAATTGTCTTCATCAGGTCCATATATGTCTACGGTGGCCATAGGGACATGCTTTTTTTGGATTAGTAAGGGGTTAATGGGGCTCCTGAAATCTCAACTAAGTAAAATAACAACAAAAAAATTAAATCCAGAGCTGCACTGGTTGTAGATCTGGCATTGCTCATGGATTGACACCTGCTAGAAGACTCATGTATGGCACCCCTTGAGAAAGGAGAGCAGCACACTGACAAATTGCTCTGGGCATTGTTAAAAACACTTCAAACAGAAGTTCAGGTGGCAGACCTAGGCTGTGAGCTGAATGTCCTAAACTAGGGCTGTAATTAGCTGCAGCACAGCAGTGCATAGGAGTCCACATTAATTACATACCCTACCAGGAGGCTGTGTTTCATTCTGCTGAGCTGTGACAGCACAAAGATCTGAGATGTCTCCCCTCTGACCAAAGAGATAGATTTTCTCCACCCTGGACTTCTGTATTTCCTCGATATGGAGTAATGCAAAGAGAATTTTTTCTCTCTGCTTTAAGGCAGACATTGTTAGAACCCAGAAAAAAGCAGATTCTTGAAACTCTGCTTGACAAAAGTTGTCCTTGTGCTTGCTGGGCAAGTAGCAGAAGAAGAGCCAGTTGCAGCCCCGATGATGCGCTGCTGGTTCTGATACGCAAGGACATCGCTGCCACGTGAGGGCACCTCAGGTGGGAACAGTGTGATCACAGGGAACAGAGCAAGATGTGGCCAGTGACATTTCTCAGCTCACTGGTGCAAAAGTAATATCCAGTAACCAGAGCAAATTCTTTTTGTTTAATTCTTAATAACAGTAAATTTTACTTGCTTTTATTTACTTTTTGGCTGCTCTCAGCCTAGACAATAAGGATAGACTGCATTCATTTTTTATTTTTTTTCTACAAACAGCTTTTCTAGTTGACTTTGGTGTTTCTCAGCACCTTTACTAGCATAAGGCTGTAATGTTTGGTATGCAGCTACTATACAAGAATGTTTCTTTAAAGGAACTTTGCCCTCTTGATTATACCAAGATAACTCAGAATGTATGAAAGTTCATGTGCTTTTCCAATTGAAAGTTTATGAAGGTGTATAAAATAACCTTTAATTCAATTTTCCCTTAGTTATGATCAACACTCACATTGACTTTAAAAATATTCTGGCTGCTACATTTGAAGACATGGCCAAGTTACAGCACTTGGGACAACACACATGCTTGTGAACCACAGCAAAGGCAAGTTAATGCAGCTTAATTAAGCTGAGACCTCTCTCTTTGTAAGGTGATCTGAGTTCAATCTTATGTTATCATTATTTTGAACTCTTGTTGGAGTGGAGCCTACATTTGGTAGTTCACATAGAAAACATTCTGAGAGGGACAGAAATCAACTTGTGCCCTCATGACATGCTGCAAGGGCAGAAACAAGGAAGCTGATTCTTCTGAAGATACCAAAGCTCTCTCCAGTCCTCAAATGGCTATGACTGAACTTGATCTGGCCTGTCAGGAAGTGATTGCTTACTAGTATCTTTACTTGTTTACCAGCATGTTTTCAAAGACAAGGAGAGGGAGTAAGCAACACAGCTGAAAGTACACTGCCCACATAAAGGGCAGTGACATACAAGTGCCAGATTCAGCAAGGTTTACTTCCTGAATACATCTGATCTAGATACCCCTTCTACCCCTCCTACATGGAAGTCACTGAGGCAACAGCTACAGTGGGAATGGCTTTTCAGGGGAAAGTGATTTGGCTGCCACTAAAATGGTCAATTACATGCAGAAAGCTCAGCAGCCACAAAAATGTCCATTAGTGGTGCAGGGAAAGCATCAGCGTGTGTGTGTATGACTAAAGAGACTCTTCCGTGTATGACTAAGTTCTATTTCAGGGTTGGGTGCATTTCTGGATTCCTTGGGATGAGCCCACAGAAACCATTTGGGAAACTAAATAAACTGCTTCCAGCTGTAACCTGCTCCTTTACTACTGATGTGAACAGGGCAGGACTTTCACAAAAGATGGGCTGCCTAACTGCTCAAGGAACTCAAAGTTTGGTTGTGGCTGAAGAAGCATTCAAAATGTTGCAAGTAGCACACCAGCTCATACTAAGATATTATTAAAAAACCCAAACTAAACAACAACAACAGCAACCAAAACAAAAACAAACCAACAAAAACAACAGCTGTAAAGCAGGAAT